CAGCAACAGAATGAGAAGAAGTTCACAGTTAAACTAAATTCTCTCCAAAACCTGAATCCACACTCAAGAGAGTACAATCAAGGACAAAGACAAATGTAATGGTTATATTATAGCAAGTCCTTTCGGAGAATTCGTTCGAAATGGATAGCAGAACCATGAATAAATGTAATAAGAACAATGGATGGACTAAACTGAACACTGAAATCTGGCGAACGAATAAAATCAGAGAAGTCTGTCTTCCTGTTCTGTTAATTATCATCCGCTTACTTTTAAAAGCACAGGATATTAAGACTCGTTCATAAAAATAATTTTACTAAACAGTTCGGTTGCGAAACTTGGTCTCTTTCTGAATTTTAAGTCTAATTCCAGAAGACACAGTCATGAAGGTGTTACCGTAATATTAGAGGCGGAGGAAATGCCGATACACATTTTTAAGTCACCTCGAGTTTATTTTATATGTTTTATTAGATTACTTAAAAGTTTTCTTCTCACTGCAAATGACAGCATAAACTATTGAACTTTTTGCCTTGTAAGATGTGTTTAGATTACACGCCACACAGCTACGTCAGAGAAGTTGCCGTGCCTTCACGGCGTTCCTACTTGTGTGAAGGAGAATAAAGTAGACATCAACATAATGCAAAAAGTCTCTGCTCCTAAGAACTGCGCCACGGATTGAAGACGAAGGCATAACTCCACGGATTTGAACCTCTCTGTTGGGTTGAGGCAAGCGGCTAGATTCAAGCCCTGTCTGCCTAGAAAGAAACCCCGGCACCCATTGGATTAGAAACTGTTTGGGCCTCAAAGCCGGTCTGGACGTCATGACCAAGAATAACATCTTGCCCTGTTGAAAAATAATCTCCGCTTTACCAGCTCCTGATCAGTATTCTGACTTAGCTATACCAGCTTCGTGGTGGCCTTAAGTGGAAATAAATTGTGATTCACGCTCCGGCAGCATTTACTCTCCAGAAGAGCTCCCCGATACGCATTGAATAGAGTCTGAGCGGGCTCCAGACAAAATCCCCTACGCTACTACAAGAAATCTAAATCTACCCATCACTGTGTTGACTCCATATAAAAATATGACAATGTACTGACCTTATATTATGTTTATTTGATATGGATTTCAATATAATGTGAAGTGAAACGTATGATTTTAGGTTTTCACAGCGATGACTATGAAGATTTCTGTCTTCTGGGTTGTTGCGCTGCGTAGTCTGGTCGATGTTAACCAACGTTTCAGAGGTCATACTGCCTCCATCATTAGGGCGATGAGTATGAAGATTTCTGTCTTCAGGGTTGTTGCGCTGTGTAGTCTGGTCGATGTTTACCGACGTTTCAGAGGTCATACTGCCTCCGTCATCAGAGTATGAAGATTTCTGTCTTCTGGGTTGTTGCGCTGCGTAGTCTGGTCGATGTTAACCAACGTTTCAGAGGTCATACTGCCTCCATCATTAGGGCGATGAGTATGAAGATTTCTGTCTTCAGGGTTGTTGCGCTGTGTAGTCTGGTCGATGTTTACCGACGTTTCAGAGGTCATACTGCCTCCGTCATCAGAGTATGAAGATTTCTGTCTTCTGGGTTGTTGCGCTGCGTAGTCTGGTCGATGTTAACCAACGTTTCAGAGGTCATACTGCCTCCATCATTAGGGCGATGAGTATGAAGATTTCTGTCTTCAGGGTTGTTGCGCTGTGTAGTCTGGTCGATGTTTACCGACGTTTCAGAGGTCATACTGCCTCCGTCATCAGAGTATGAAGATTTCTGTCTTCTGGGTTGTTGCGCTGCGTAGTCTGGTCGATGTTAACCAACGTTTCAGAGGTCATACTGCCTCCATCATTAGGGCGATGAGTATGAAGATTTCTGTCTTCAGGGTTGTTGCGCTGTGTAGTCTGGTCGATGGTTACCAACGTTTGGGGAATTTAATGTGGGATGTGTAACTCATATTTTTGTTTAGTTTTTGCGTCGTGTTTATGCTCATAGCTTATATAAAATGAGGGATCGCCAACACAACGTGTAAATATACGAATGTAAACACTCAAACCCAGTACGGTCAGAAAAATGTCTACATACTCGTACTAACTCAACAGTAGCGTTTCTATATTCATAATCCATATGATGATGACCTAAGGGTCGAAGCGTAGTGAAGGTTATGCATAATACATTTGCATATCTACAAAATGTGTTGGCGGTCTTTCATTTCATTTAGGTATTTCCCATCTGCTGTTGTGGTGGCGAAGCGGCAGGGGTAATTTTTAACGTAAGGTTCACTCCGTAAAGAGTAAAATAATCTCCCGAAATTCAGAAAAATATAACAACCTAACAATGTGGTAGGAAAATACGTAGCTTCTGCACCGATAACCCCAAAGTTCGCTATCAGTTTCCATCCTCCTTTGTTTTTCACACTATAACTCCCTAACATCCAAATGTCATTAGTCCTCCCATTTCATACTTGGTCTTCCAAGTAAGCGTTTCCCAAACAAAGTGACGCATAGATTTCTTATCTATTCTATTGTAGCTACATGCTCAACCCATCGCAGCCTTCTAGATTTAATTAAATGACGAGACCTGTATCAGTTACTAAGTTCCTATTTACTAAGTTATTCCATGAAAGAGAGTCCTTATTTAGAAGCTCATTATTGTTCAGACAGTCGAAGGATCCCCAGCGTTCATGAGACCAGAAGATTCATTACTTAGTTCACAAGTGCCTGCCACTGGTTCTTGTCATCAGATTAATCTCCAACCTATTCATTGTTTATGTAAGATCCACTTTAATATTATCCTCCCATCTACGTCTAGGTCTCCCCAGCGGTCTCTTCCCCTCAGGCTTCCCGATCAATACCCGGTGCACACCTCTTGCCCCAACCATGCGTGCTACATGTCCCGCCCATCTCATTCTTCTCAACTTAATCACCCTGACAATACTGGGGGAGGTTCATCATTATGCAGTTTCCTCCATGCCCCATCGTCTTCTCTCCTAGGACCAAATATACTTCCATCCTTAATTTATAGGCAATTCTGTTGTTCCACTGTTAGGTCCATAGACTGTACAATAGAAAACCAATGTTGGACTGAATGAAGAAAGCGAACCTTCCTCTTTCTTTCTTTCTTTCTTTCTTTTTCTTTCTTGAATTCGTAAATGGAAGTAAAAGTGAGATTGAGCGGAGAAATTCTCCGTGGTGACGAGAGAAACGCATATATATATAGAGACGAGTTCGCATATTCGCCTGTCAGCTGTCTCCGACGTGTGCGGCATTTTTATGCAGCGCGTCCATTGACAGGAATGTTGATGCAACAAAGAACTGAACCATCGATTAGTTCGGGACCAATTTCTAACTCCTAAAAGCTTCATACTTCTGCACTGTTTTATTTTAATGTCTTATCACAAAGTGCCTGGAAATTAAGCATTACGGAAAAGTCACATTTCGCCGTTCGCCTGTTGGAAAGATTTCTGTCCGAAACAACCCTGAGAATTTGGATTAAATTTTGTATTGGAGGTTTTCACTAGACTTATTGAGAAAAACATATTTCCGATAGAATTATATGCAGTGGAAAAGTGTAATTAACACTAAATTGAATTAAATAAATGTCCTCTGAAAATTAAATTGGTTATAATATTCAATCAGCAAAGATCAGTATAAGGAAGGAATGGACTGAAATGGTCTAAATCGTGTAATTCTTATGCTAACGATGTTAATTTATGTGCCACACATAAATTAACTTTCTCTGAATTATTAAGAATAAATTCAAGCAGTTTCCTAATCACGTAAAACATCTCAAATTGTAATTTTACGTAGGCCTATACATTTATGTAGCTCGGATTTTAGAAATAAACTGAGAGGATAAACTATTCCATAATAAATATGGTACCAAGAATCCGCACAAATTCAAATATTTGGAAGGAAGTAATTTTTATTCCTTAATATACTTAATCATGCTTTCGTAGTTTCATGTTTAAATAACATGAAGTAGGTGGAGACAGGTAAGATTATAGATACTCACGGCGGTGAAAATGAATATGACTATATTATTGAATGTTCCACCATGTAATCTGGTAGACACTGACCGACGTTTCAGGAACTATCATGCAGTAATATCTCAGAAGACAGTAATTTGCATACGTGGAGTTAAATAATAACGAAATGATCGAAAGACGGTCCCGCTCTATTTTAAGGCGGCCTACGTTCCTAGCGTCTCTCTATAGTAACTGGGGAAAACAACGATAAGCCTTAGTTGGTGAATCGAGACTCGGGACTTGCCACATACAAATCAGAGGTGATAGTGACTTCAGGGCTTCTTAGTTTTGCGCGCTGTGCTCGTGAGCTCTGTACCGTTTCTGCCAGCATGGACCACAACTGAAATAAATCAATATTCAGAGAATGCAGGACGCTAGTGCGTTTCCATTCTGTGTCTGTCTCCTATCTCACGCGCCACATCGTTTGACGAAGATGCCCTGTGTAATACATCAGACTTATGGAATAGCGTTATCGTTAGCAGGCCAATAGATTATTTAGCCGCTATGTAACATATCAACTATCTATATAGGTCCATGGCGCTGCATCTCCCTTAAACATTTAATAGCTTCTCAGCTGATCACGAATTTAACGTATAATCACGCGAGTACCTTTGGTAAGAGTCGAACGTCTATCCTCCCAGACTACGGCAAAGCTATACATATGAAAGTTTGAGTTATATCAGGTCAGAAAAGAATTCTGCAATTAAGGAGGTACAAATCGCTATCGAGGACTTACATCTAGTGCTGAAACCAGATCCATGTCCCTCTGTACACAATCTTACGACACTGAACCCACCTGTGAAGTCAATCTGCAACTGATCTATGATGGTATTAATATTCCGTTCCTCGAAGTGAAAAAATCTATTCCAACCGCCGTGAGTCGAAGCGAAGACAAGTGACTATGAGGAGTGTAAGTCCAGATAAATTCCTTTTTTCAGTCTATCGTAATTTTAATACAAAATTGCAATATCAAGGACTCAAGAGGACTCACCTACTGCATGTAGTCTCCACACAGCGACTGACGATCGAAGCTAGTTGAGACTCCGAATGGAAACTGCAAAACAGAGACAGCCGGTGTCAAAATTTTTAACACTTCACTAACTTACTATTGACACAGACTTCTTAATTATTAAATATGTTCAGAGCAAAGCGACATCAAATGACATTCTGTCCATCTGTCTTCAAATCTGTTTAATTTCTAACACTACTATGAGAATTTGCATTACATTTTGTATTAGAGGCCTACACTAAAAATGGTTCGGCCAGTTCAACCCTGATAAGAATAAATCATACATAATTCATACTTTATATGACGCTGGAATAAAACGCTATATTTCTCGAAGAGGGCTCGTCGTATACACATGGATAAATAATCAAAAAGTCATAAATATTACCCCGTAAGTCTAAAATCACTTAATACCATTATCATGGCAACGGTTATGACAAGAATATTATCCGATAAAGCCCAAAATCAAGGATGGCTGTCTTCTAGGTCCTTGCTGCAAGGATCTCTGAAATGTTCTTAAACTTCTACCAGACTGCACGGCGCTACTACCCAGAAGACAACCATCTTCTTACTCAACGCCGTGAGAACCTCAGGTCCTACGATGTATTAGTTGCCTTATCGTGAAGACAAGAAGAGAAAGTTCTAAGAAAATCACTGAATATACATTTCCCAGAACAAACGCCAGGCTGCATTCAAATAACGAGAATTATTCCAGGAATCCAACTCGTTCCACATTTTTCATTTCCGTCCATTGTGCCAAATTTACTTCGTCACATGCCTAATCTGTTACTGAGACAGACCTTACGTTCTGTTGATAGGTCGAACTTCTGTTTCCATTAACAGTCGAATAACGGAACTGTCACCAGGATTCCAATATTGATTGCTAATTCCCAAATATATTGCCTCTAGAGGCACTAAAAAATTGGCTAGCGGACAGAGTTGAGCGCCTCAGTCACTCAAATTGCTGCACAACCAACAGATGCTGAGTTTACTACGAGAATGCAAATTATATAAAGTGGAATATGGTACACATCAAAGCCAGAGACGATTCGCTGTCATTAACTAGGAAATATAATCAGGCGAAAATAAATATTTGAGCTGAAGAGTAATTAAATATTACAACAATAAATATGAAATACGGAACAGAAATGCGGTACAAATGTGATAACATATTTTGTAAAATATATTATTTTGGTGCTAACAATTATAAACATGGCGCCTTTCTGAAATTATCAGGTTATACGATAAATTTAATCGTGCTAATTGATCACGAAAGTGTATAATTGTTACTCTTAATCAAATCTGTTTTCATAAGTTCTTCCCAGAACTCTTCTCTTGTCGCCCGACAACGTTCCGGAGTAATTTCATGTTCAGTGAACAGAACACGAGAATACACAAGCAACGAGCAACGAGTCACAGGCTTCTGGAAAGACGGACCTGCCACGCTGTCGAAATGCAGGTCACCCTTGTGCGTCTTTCCTACGCGAGGTCAGACTACAGAGCTTCTCCAATATCAGCAAGAGAAGATTGAAGTGACTTATCCATCAAACACTCGCAACAAATGTTGTTACAGCATTTCATGTCGTGAAGATTTCTGTCTTCTGGGTTGTTGCGCTGTGTAGTCTGGTCGATGTTAACCAACGTTTCAGAGGTCATACTGCCTCCGTCATCAGGGTCATCGCCCTGATGATGGAGGCAGTATGACCTCCGAAACGTTGGTTAACATCGACCAGACTACACAGCGCAACAACCCAGAAGACAGAAATCTTCATATTCACCGCTGTGAGAACCTCAAGTCTTACATTTCATGTCGTGACATGCACAGACTCTATAAAAATACGTTCTATAAATCTAATATCACCTACGAGTCTTTCAAATTCTACGACCACAGAGTTCAACCACGTTTCTGTTTAATTGACATGAGTAAGACAAATCTAAGGAGCGTTTGCTATCACCTAGTTCAGGACTCGTATTTTGGCAACGACTTACTTCTTCATTCGTGAAAATAGTCGGTGGAAGTAATTGAAAAACGCTGTTTTATGGAACGTGCATTTATGAAGAATCTGAAGTCTTCACGGGGGCAAAAATGAAGGTCGCCCTGATGATGAAAGCAGCAAGTACCTCTAAACGTTGGTAAACTTCTGTACGACTACTATCATCAACATGCGTTCATTCTTACACCTACCCACACACAATTTCTGAAAATTACGGAGCATTTCGGAAAGTGTGTATCTATCAATTAGTTTCTGGGTCTATGGGCTACCTGATTTGAGAGGAACCTAGTTTTAGCGACAACTGAAGCGGATGTTTACGCATCCTTCAGTGAGTTTACACTGAATCAAAGTTCCCAGTAACAAAGATAGATCTGTATCAGTCTCAGCTTGTTAAATCTTTGCTTGAAGTTCTTGTCCTTAGATTGATGATGTTTTGAAATTTTTTAAATGTTTAGTGGGGATGTTAAGACATCGCATCTATACATTGTTTAAAGCTCGCAATATTTATGCGTTCAACTCTCGGACGCATAATGAGTCGCTTCACTCCGATTGTCGTATATTTCATTCCCGTAAAGTGTTTGGATTACATTTGGTAGTGGTATGTCTGCAGTAAGGTCTAGGATTAAGCAATTTTAGTTCATATTTTCCGAATCTAAACCGTGTTTTTTCATAACAGTCAAATTATATGTTATCGATTTTTTAAAACAAGACTCATCGCATAAAAACATTTGTAAACAAAATATAGAATACTTGAAGACTTATCACAGTTATAAAAATACGTTTCAATATGACAAATATTAAACGAAAACCAAGTGAATAATTTGATTCTGTGTAGTGGTGGGCTTATGTCTGCAATGAATAAACACAAACACCAAATGCGGTAGAAATATAAGTCATCGAAAAGTGGGAAATACATTTTCACACTTGAAGATTGTCGTCTTCTTCAAAACTTAAATTGTTTCAGACACAGTTTGTAGTAGTTGACGCCAAATACATTTTCCTTTAAGCACTTTCACTTGGTGTGACGAGCTAGTTTCGATGAAACTGCCAGTACCTCCATATTTTATGGACCCGCAGGCCTACAGCAAGAATTACTGCCTGAACTGATTTTAACACCTTAGAAACATTCTTGGAAATTCGTTTTAAATAGCAGTCACGTATAGACTGGCATCACGCAAAACATGCAACCAATTGCTGTCAATAACAAACCAACAAATATTTCTCTTCGTTCTTCGCTTATCTTTTGATTAGGTTATATCTCTGTGATGGTTGTGTGACTGTGGTAACTGTGAAACAGAGAGTTTCCGGAGAAGCTGACAGTCGCTGCTGCTTACCCAAGTGATTGAGGAAAATAATGGAGAGAGGCACAGAACAAAAAAGAGTTTGGGATGACAGACATTTGGAGGCTCTTTATCCATCGCCCCGTCGCTTAACGAAGCTGACGTCAAAAGACGAGAAAAGGAAAAATGAGAAATTTACGTTGAAGTGCGTCACATTGTAGACAGATTGTCACCTAATGTTGTTGTAGTGATTAAATTGAGGGCGATGAGATGGATGAGATATATTCAGCACTTAATGGACCATCCGTAAGTACTTTCTGATGGTCTGTAAGGTATTTTCTCCTTTCAGGCAACACTAATATAAAGCCTTATTACACACACACACACATTTGTGCAAAGGTATGCGTTTATATGTTATTAAAGCATACAGAGTGAACTTTCAAAGAGTTTCATGGAGTAAATTGTTTGTAAAACCACCAAAGGAATGGCCCAGCTTTAAAACGCCATCTGGATAGGAAAGCCATGCAACGTTTCGGACCAAAGCAGCAAGTACAATGTAGGATAAAGTGTTGAGTAAGCTATTTTGAGCCTTTGAGTGAAACCCTTTCTCTCCCGACGAAGAATAGCTTGAGTGGAGGGGACAGCTATTCAATGCGGCCGCTGCTTGGCGCTAGGATCGTTCTCTCCACAGTACACTCCCTCAAAATCACAAGTGAACAGATCTGCTTCGCATTATCACCTTTTCTATTCTTCGTTGGTCATGGTAATTTATTACTCTCAAAAAAGTACGAAGTTCAAGCTAATCGTGTCCATTTTCTGGGATGTTGCGCCGTGCAGTCTGGCAGATAATTCCCGCTGTTTCAGAGGTACTCAGGACAATGACGGAGACTAAAAGTTGTGGAATCAACTCCGGATTATAAACGAAGTTATTCCCTGATTACGGACACAGAAACGACCTCCGAAACGTTGGAGCGGCTGACCGCCAGAGAATATTTATTCCTCATACTTTGTTTGATTGCTTGCTTGTAGGTCTTATTCGTATTTTATACTCTCAAGTCGCCCTCAGGTGAGATTTAAAGCTTAAACGCGGAGCAATAAAGCACCGAAGTCGGAGGAGAAACCGAAGGAAAAGGAGACGAAGAAGAATCACTTTTCAAAGACCACTTGTATAAGCAAGTATAAACACTTTCTTCCACGTGAAATATATTGCACCTTCCAGAATGGAATTTATCGAATGTGTAATGAAACAGAATAAGAATACGAAAACATAGGATAGAGGAACTCAGGTGTAGTTGGTGGAACAACTTCCTTATTGAATTACAGCGATCTGACTTACAGTTACTTCTTGGCAGTCGGGCATACACAAATCACCAAAGCGACACGCGGTAGGTAATTGACAATGTTAGAAGTGTGGTGGAATCAAAGATACTGAAAAAAGAGAACGAAGATATGTAGAAGGAAAAAGTAAAAAGAGAAGGACGAGGGTGAAAAGAGGAAATTGGACGTTTAGAGAACCCCGTCTAGAGCCAACACAAAAATAGACAAGAATGGGTAAGACGACAGAATCGAGTTGTCAAACCGAGTTCATCAGTCTGTCTGAGGAAGGCGTAAGAAGGGCATATAGACCTCGCCTCCGAGTATGTGTGAGTGTACATAGAAATGAAACAAAAATGTTACATTCAAAATATTTATTCATCAGCCACTAACTCACGGATTTTTTTTTTAGTTATTGTTACCAGGTATCCACGATGCTCATCCCCATTAACTAAGTTCT